AGGCGCTCCACCCGCTGCAATCCCTCCAGGCGCTCCAGCCACTCCTCACACCAGCCACTGTGGGCGCTCCAGTCACTCCATTCGCTCCAGGCGCTCCGGTCACTCCAATCACTCCAGACACTCCAGGCGCTCCAATTACTGCAGTCACTCCAGCCACTCCAGTAACTCCAGCCACTCCAGGCACTCCAGCCACTCCAGTCACTCCAGGCGCTCCAGGCGCTCCAGTCACTCCAGGCGCCCAGTCAGTCCAGCCGCTCGAAGCGCTCCAGACACGCGTTTGATGTTCTGCTAGAGGGCGCAGGGTACATGTGCACCATGCTGGAGATTCAGAGAAGCTGCGAGAGAACGTTGGAGTATCTATGTGTTACCGCACGGGAGCATCCTTGGAGTATTTCGCAAAAGGCGCCATCGACGCTGGAGTATGTTTGGGGGAATTCTGAACGTTCGGAAGTCTCGCTGGAGTATGTTTGGAGCATTTTGATATTCAGCGCGCTGCGCTGGAATATCTTTGGAGTATTTCGACAAAGGACCGTCGACGCTGGAGTATTTTGGGAGCATTTTGATTTTTCGAGAAAATCTCGCTGGAGTTTCTTTGGGGCATTTTGAATTTCAGCGCTGTGCGCTGGAGTATCTCCGGAGTCCTTTTTGGATTATTTGTTGATTATTTTTTGGCGATGTCAAATCTGGTCGAATTCGGTTGGCGCATTTTTGGAGCAGTTGCAAAGTATTGGAAATCTGCCCGAGTATGATAATACTATTTCCCGTGCTGGTGCAAAAAACGCATGGGATATCACTGTTGCGTCGGCGGCTCGCGCGTAGCATGCTGGGCTAAGGTATTATGGAGACGCGCGGGGGGCGTCGGCGGCTCGTTTGGCGCGCCCGCAATGCCGCTGCCGAGCCGGCGAGGGCGCGTCTTTCCATTCGGTTTCCTGGAGGAGCTCGCCACGACGAGGGCGCGCCGCCGCCTCCAGCCCCCGCAAGCGCAACGCGCGCACTGGGCCGCCGTTCTGAAGACGCGCTCGCGCAAAAATCCACGGGCGTCCGCGCGCTCGCGCGACTGGCCGCGCCTTTTTTCGACCGCCGCGGTTTTGCTCCACTCGGCCACAGCGAAAACGAGAAGGACAGATCGGTCACGGCACGCGTCGGAACACGCCCCGCGCGCACGCCCCGCCCGCCCGCCCCCCCAAACCCCGCCACCCCCCCCCTAACAAAGTTAGCCTGGCGATGGGCCCAGTCGCATGCGCTGCGAGTACCGCGCCGTGGGCGCCATTCTCGGTGGAACACCCGATGGGGCCGCGAACCGCGAGGGGCGTGACGAAACGGGTGCCCCGGGCGCGCGCGGGAAGGTGCGCCGGCGCCTTCGGCGGAGCTCCCTCTGGCGCAACACAACGCGCGAGGGGCGTGCCTGCGTGGGCAAGCGCAGCCACTGGGGCCTTAAGAAGAGCTCCCCGCGGGGCCTCGAAACGCGCGAGGGGCGCGCCGAAATGGGCATGAGGTGGGCGGGGGGCCGCGCGTGGACATCGCCACTGGTGCCTTCCGTGGAGCACAACCAAACGAGTGAAGGATGCGCTGACACTGGCATCGGGCGGGCGGGGGGCCGCGCGTGGACATGGCCACTGGGGCCTTCGGCGGAGCTCCCTGCGGGGCCGCGAAGCGCGCGAGGGGCGCGCCGAAGTGGGCGCGCGGCGAGCGCGGAGCGGCAAGCGGGCACGGCCACTGAGGCCTTCGGCAGGCCCCCGTCGGCGGCCGCGAAACGCGCGCGCGGCGTGCCGAAGGTGGGCGGGGGGGTCGCACGCGGGCGCGGCCACTGGGGCCTCCCCGCGGGCCACGAAGCGCGAGAGCGCGCCGAAATGGGCACGGCGCGGGCGGGGGCTGCGGTGGGGGAGCGGGGGGCGCGTGCGGACGCGGCCACTGGTGCCATCAGTGGAGCTCCCAGCGGGGCCGCGAGGCGCGCGAGGGGCTTGCCGAAATGGGCGCGCGGTGGGCGGGGGGCCGCGAGTGGGCATGGCCGCTGAGCTGAAGCCATCGGCGGAGCCCCCCATAAAACCGAAAAGCCCATGAGGGGCGTGCCGAAATGGGCATTCGGTGGGCGGGGTGCCCATGCACAATGCACTTTCAACGCCCGAGATGCCAGGCGCCAACGCGCGCGTGCGCGCGCGCTCGCAACGCGGCGCATGCATGTCTACACCATGGGCGGCGATGTAAAGTAAAGAAACAAACGGTCAAACCCCGTGGTATTTTTGAAAACAAATTTGGGATGGGAAGGCGCAGCCATCTCGGCGTGGTGCATATGAAAACGCGCGCGACGCAATGCCAGCGCGCGAGATGGCAGGCGCCCGCGCGCGCACTCGCGGCGTGGCGCGTGCGATTCTAAACAATAGGCGGCGTTGCCCAATCGGAAACCCAACGGTCAACACCCCATGTAAAAGTGCATTCTCGGAACGGAAGGCGCAGCCATCAGAGCGCGGTGTATATATAAAGGGTTGCACAACGCAATGCAGGCGCGCGAGATGCCAGGCACCCGAGCTGTGCATGCATTTCTACACCATGGGCGGCGATGTTAAGTTGAAAACCCAATGGTCAAAACCCGATGTAGAATGTTATTCTCGGATCGGAAGGCGCGGCCATCTCAACGTTGTTACATTGGGCGGCTATGTTGATTCTGACACACAGTGGTCAAAACCCAATGCAAAAACATATTTTCGGATCGGAAGGCGGAACCACCGTGGCGCACGGGTCGCCACTTGCCGCAGGTGGCCAGGTCAACCTGTTTGGCCCGCATGGGGGGTAATGCCGCAGCGCGTGCTCCCCCAGCGGAGCAGTTCTTCTATCGCCACTGTGCTGTAGGCGGCCCTCGTTCGCAGACGCGGTGCTCCATGACGGCGCGTCGCAATGTTTCGGCGCAGTCGCGGCGGCGTCGCGCGCCCCGTGGGATTGCAGCAGGGGCCTCGCGCGCACTCTTGCGACTGTTCCTGCGACGTGCTTGTTGGCGCCATCCTGTCACTTGCCATGTTTTCAGAGACGTTCGATTGGAACGTTGCGCGTTTCGTTGCGCCCGACGCGGCCGGAAACCCCACCACTGGCAAGCCCGTGAGAGCGAACGTAGTAATGCGCACGTCTTGCAATCCAGCTCCAAAAGCGGCGGCTATACAACGACACCAAATGGCATCTCGGATAATCACGGGAAGGAAACGCGACCAACAGCGACTGTGTGAAACGGTCCAGGGAGGAGCGAAGAAAGGAACCAGGAAGAAAAGCCATGACTTTGTTGATGCGCACAGAAGGTACGCAGGCATTGGGACGATATGCGTGGAGGAATATTGCACTTTCTGCCATGATATGTGAATTATAGCGGCCGCAGAACCTTTCGGGCGATGGTTGCGGCCGCTGGGACGAACAGTGTAAACGCAGGGTCTGGGCCTCCAAAACCACAAGCGAATGTCAAAAGAGTGGTCGCCGAAACGATGATGCGTCGCATCGGTTTCTAATGGCGCCGCCGCGCCATCCAGCATGCGATGGCAAAGCGCAGTCGATCCTCTCTGTGCGCTGTGCACACACCACTTCGCTGCAAAAGCACACGCGTGCCAAAACGCGGTAGCGCGCGCTGTCGCCACCACGAGCGGCGCAGCAGGTTATAACGACGCCACGCGGCGCAGCATGTGTTCCAGGCGCGTGCGCCGTCTGCTAGCGAAGCTTCTGTCAAGGAGGCAATTTCCATATTTGTTGTTGATAAGTTGGAAGATGCCTTGGACATTCGCCACCAGACTATGTTTTGGCTATTTCGAAATATTCTTCCTGTAGAAGGAAGCGCCCGACTTGAAGCTAGGCGCGCGCGCGCGGTCGCAAGGCCGGCGCGCCCGCGAGTTCTGAGGGCCACCTGTGCCCGCATTGACAATTATGCTATGGCAGAAAAGGGTGGGAGTGTTCGCGCTGGAAAGATTAACTCCTGCTCCTCCCACTCTTCATCCTCATCCTGGTCCGTCACCACAACCACCATCAGAAGTATCACCCTCATCTTCAATCCGAACTACGCAATGAGCTGAAATGCCCCCTCCAACTTCTCCACTTCCTCCTTATCATCCTCCTCACATTATCCCTCCCGCTCCTCCTCCTCCTCCACGACTCAGCTATGATTATCATCCTGACCCTCCATGCCTCAAAATCCTCTTCACTCGATCTCACCATCCCTCGTCCCCACTGTCCCCATCCATCCAGCTCCAGCCTCTTCTTCTCTTCTCGTCTCCTGCCTCGCTAAGCCCTCCTCCTATGATCCGCAAACGTCCTCCCATGTTCTCCTCCCTCCTTCCCTCTTCATCCTCCATCCTTTTCCTTCCTCCTCCCTCCTCAACCAGCTGCAACCTGCATCTGATTGAACAAAGGAACAAAAAGGCGTTCAAAGGCCTTCTCAAACTATCTAGTACGTCGTCCCCATTCGTTTCCCTCCTCGTCTCAGGGAGGAGGGGGAACATCAATGTCAGAAGGCGGGGGAAGAAACCAGGAAAGGGAAAGTGAAGCGGGGGGTCTTGGAGGGGCCAGGAGGGAGGGAAAGGAGAGGGGGAACGGGAGGGGAAAGAGGGAAATGGAGAGGGACAGGATGGGACGAGAGAGGGGGGGAACGAGGAGTGGGGCGGGAGGCGAGGGGAGCAAGAGAGGACGAAGCTTTAGTCGGCGGGGAAGCGAAACAGAAGGAAAGGGCAAACGAGGGGGAAGAGGAAAAGGGGGGAGGCAGAGGAAACGGGAGAGCGACGGGGACAGGAAGGACAAGATGACGATGGGGAGGGAAACCAAAGTGGGGATGTGAAAGGGAGACAAGGTGGCGGGGAAGGGGACACAAAAAGGGATGGAGAGGGATGTGTCGGAGGAGCAACCAAAAGGGGACGGGATGGGACTGGGGCCTGGGGAGAGGCCGGTGACGGCGAAGACGGCGGTGACGAAAGGAGGTAGGAGGAAGGGAGAGGATGAGAGGCGGAGGAGAAGTATACACACCGAAGCGCAGGCACCTGATAATTTTCTTATCTTGCTTCGTGGCCTTGGCGCGGGCGAGCGAGGTTCTCTGAACCGACTTCTCCGCCTGGCGGCTGGGCGAAGGAAGGACTCCAAGCGCGGGCTACAACGACGACACACGCATACACACATCGTCCCCCCCCCTCGGACACGGCAGTGAACACAATTACGGGATCAACAGCTGCGGGAGTCCAGCCGTGGCGGCAAAAGCCTCCTGGAGGTCCCAAACGGACCACGGGCATCCAACGACCTCCAGGACCGTCTCACTCTTCATGGCGAGGGACGAACCTGGCCCTCGCTGAAGATAGTCGCTTGATCTACTATCGGTCGGTTCTCGACCGATCGGTACTCGGTGGAGGACCGTTAGCCCGCTCCCTTCCCATGCTTGCCTTGGAAAACAACCTCAGCGGCCCAGTGACGAGAGCGAGGTGCAAGCGGCACCTCGCCGCGCGGACTGCCAGCAGCGGGCCGTTCTTTCCCGGATAGGCTGCCCCGATCGATGCTCCGCAGGCCCGACGGGCCTCGGTATAACCTCGGGCGCCCCCGCCCTTCGGGGGAGGCGGCGGGCCTCGGGCGGGCTGCTGCGGAGGGCGAGCCAGGCGGCTGCGGAGGGCCCTCGGCGAGGCACAGCCGATGGAAGACACGCTCCGATCGGGAGCTGTTCACGGTGCCCCTGGCCAAAGGGGCCCCCCAGCTTGTCGCTCCACCTTGCAGCCCCTGGGCCTCCCGGGCCTCGCGAGAGGTCCTCTGGAGGCCGTGGGGGCCTCTGTGAAAAAGGCGGGGGGCACCCTGGGCCAGGGGCACGTCTAGCAACACCAGACCCGGGGGCCGGGACAGCCTCGATGCAAGCCGGAGTAGTTGGTCTGGCAGAGGTGGGCGAGCGGGGAGAGATGCAACAGTTACTTGCAACCGTTGGTGCCTCGATGCAATGGCTTGCGCGCTGGATGCAATGGTTGCGTGTGGATGCAATGTGTGTATCCTTCTCCACACGCAACGGCCGTCACCCGTGCAATAGTTCGCGCCCCCCGCAACCATGGCGTCCTATTGCGCGGAACAGCACACAACTAATGAGCGAGTGCACCTCTCGCCGCCGACCCATCTGCGCCAGATCTACTGCTCCAGCTTAGACTCAAGAAGCGTTCGAAGATATCTGGGCATGCTCATGGCGATCCCCCGGGCCGAGGCGGTGAGCCTGGCCCGGGTTGAGCATCTTGGACTCCTGCAGCTCCTTCAGCACCAGCTCCCTCTGCTGCGCCTTCCTCTCGCGCAGCGCCCGCCTCGTGGCGGCCGTGCCCCATAGGTTGGCAGGCGCGAGGAGATGGCATTCGTCGCCGTCCTCATCCTCGTGACCGTCGACGCGCCCGTCGCCGTCGTCGTCGTCGTCGCCGTCGCCGTCGTCGTCGTCATCGTCGTCGTCGTCGTGTCCATCGTCGTCGTGTCCGTCGCCATCGTCGTCGTCGGCGTAGTCGTCGCCAGTGTCATCGTCATCGTGGTCGTCGTCCGCGTCGTATTCGCTCTGTTCGTCGCCGTCATCGTTCGCCGTCCACGTTGTCGGAATTGCCGTCGGAGTGGGAGGAAAAGGAGGGGAGGCAGAAAGGCAGGAGAAGGCAAAAGGGGGGGTTACCAAGTTTGCTACAAATCTAAAGGATACCTCAACCTGTCTTCAATGATGAGGTGGCCATCTGCGAAATACTGGAGACTGTGCAAATGCCATGAGGTTAGAATCCAGTAGTTGGCCGACAAGAGGCCCCACCATGAAAGTTCAGGTACCAACAGGAAACTGTCCGACACTGGCTGGCATCATGGGAAAGACAGGTGTCACATACCATTATTCATGCCAACGGCTGTGAAAGAACTAGTCCGTGGGGGGATCTATCCAGTGGCCCCACTGAAAGGATTCGATCACACCTCGGGATGGGATTGCAAATCCTGCGGCGAGGATCGGGAATCACCGCAGCTCTGATCGAGCGTTCTTAGCCGTGCCTCGAAAAAAAAAGCCTGGGCGTTTGCCTTCAACTTTCGGTTGCTTGGGCAGCCACGGCAGCCGTCACCCTCTGGTGCACGAGTTGAACCCTGTGCTCCCGTATCAAGTGCACCTCGGCCGCGCGAGTCGCGCACGCTCTCCCGCTCGGAGAGGCACAAGCCTCGCCGAGGCCAGGCGTGTGCTGTACCTGGAGGCCGACACCCTGCGCTGCACCTCAGGATCAACGCCACGTATTAAGCTGCTCCACAGGCCGTCACCACGCAGAGCTTTCCGTTCACGGACAACAGGGTGGGGTATCCACGCCACCGAACTCTCACGCTCGACAACACCCGCAGATCGTGCTCCAGCTCCCAAGCCAAAAGCACACGCAGAGCTCTCCGTGCCAGAAAGGGGAGGATGCCACGCCACCGAGCTCTCGAGCCCGGTAGCAGTGGCAGGCTGAGTGCTGAGACCCTGAACTGATGGCACATGCAGAGTTGTCCGCCGTTGGACGGAGGGCCTCCGAAGCGGGCCATTCAACCAACCCTGCCAACGTTCGAACTTGAGTAACGAGTACCCAACAGAGGGGGGGATAAGTTGAGGGGACAACTTTCCGGCCCAGGAGCGCGAACAACGTCCACCCTGTGGGGCCGTGCCACCATTTCCAAGGAGGTCGATGGGTGAGGAGGAGGGTGGGGGGCCACTCTCTGGCCCAGGAGCGTGGTGAACAACGTCCAGAGCCAGGGGCCAAAGGAGGACCCAGCACACGGAGCCCGAGCAGAGCATCGCGCCGCGCCAGCTCTAACGCCGAAGGCCAAGGCTCGGCCCCCACAAAACTCCCGAGAGCATCGCCAGCGGCGAGGCCCCTCGGAGCTCTGCCAAGCCCCAGTGGGGACGGAAACGGACAGCGGACCCCCAAACAGCCATAGATCGGGCCGAACACACACACACACACACACACACACACACACACACACACACACACACTGGCAAAATTCGCATGCCGCCGCACCGCCCATTTCGGCACACCCACCCGTCACACGCTTCGCGGCCCCATAGGCAGCTCCAACGAAGGCGTCAATGGCAAAGTTCGCATACCGCCGCCCCGCCCATATCGACAAACCCCTCACACACGACAAGGAGCTCCACTGAAGGCACCAGCGGCGCGGCCCACATGCCGCCGCCTCGCCCATTTCGGCACACCCCTCACGCGTTTACTGGCCCCATAAAGAGCTCGTCCTCCTTCACCCCACCTACCTTGCGATATTCAGGCATGCGTATGGTTGGGCCCTTCCCCAAGATAGTTTCGAGCAGGCGGACGAAGAGGGGCAATGGGCAGCAGCGGCGGCAACAGCGGAGCGCGGCTCCCGAGGCGCCCCCCCTTGCGCCGCGCCTCTCGTCCCGTTCCCTCTCGACCTCGGCGCGCGGGCGGGGGGGCGGACCCTGACGACGAAGGCGAGAAAGGGATACGGAACCCACAAAAGCGCGCCCAACCACGGACATGAATTAGGGCCCCGTCCTCGAGACCAGCCTCGTGACACGAACGCTCGCGCAACGCGCACTTTCGACACCACAAATATGTATTGATTTACGCGTACGTCATCAATTCGTTCCTGGCGGGGGTCCTCCAACCCAAGGAAGAAAAACTTCAGCGCTTCACTGTGTCCATGTCGCGCGTTGGCCACGCGCTGTGCCAGGCAGGAACGGATATGCTCAACTGCCCGAACCATGGTCCCGACGTGATAATGGCCCTCATGGAAAAAAGGATCCGCTTCGTTCGGCTATCGCTTGGCTGCTGCGCTGCTGCTGGTGCTGCTGCTCACGCCTGGAATTCGACGCCAGGAGTTCGCCCGCACTCAAAGGGAGGGGCGTTCAGGACTAAAGGGGAGGGGCCGAAAGGATGGCGAGAGGGCCAGCGGGGGAGCCTGATTACCTGTTTACCTGCATGCCGCGGTTACCTGCTGCATGGCGGGGCACGAGCAACACTATTACAGGTCAGGGAAAGCACCCCTAGAGTTAGGAGGCAAACCTGTAGACAACATGCTGAGCATTTCCTTCCCAAGTTTGGAGGGGGTCGCACCGCAATCTTTGCGGGAAATCAGCACAGTGCCTGCCGCGCACCTGGCAAAACAACACCCCACGGATGGAGGCACGGCTCGAACCAGGGCGTGGCCCACTGGGCCTGGAACTCCTGGCGCCTGCGCACCAGGACAACCCATGTGTTCTGCAGAGTGGAGGGAGGCATTGGTAATGACCGACGGACTTTCCAGAACACCTCCTGTCACACAGAGTGCTCGGGCGAATGAAAACCAAACGGCGCAGCGCCAGGTGCCGCAGCCAGCAACCTTTCGCCCTCGGCCTCGGCTGCGTCCGACATGTCCTCCGCCTCTGGGTCGTGCGGCAGGCACTGGCCCTTGTGCGGCGAGGGCTCGACCTCCGCGTCCTCTTCGAAGTCCTCGGACGGCTCGGCGGCGCTGGCCTTGGGTTTGCTGACTCGAAGCTGCGGTTGGCCAGGAAACCGTGCAGCTTTCACCAACTGGAGGTTCGCCTGGGGTACGTTGCCAGATGGGTGAGCCATGCCGCCCTTGCCTATGTGGGTCCTGATGAGAACAGCTTCTGGTTGAGCCGCTGGTGCTGCAGGTGCCGCTGGTGCTGCATGTGCGGCTGGTGTTGCTGCGAATGGTGTTGGGGTCGTCCCCGACGCTGATGGAGCCAGCAACGTGAGCTGACTGAGAGTATGCTGGGTCGTGACCATGGAGCCTTGAGGAGCCGTCAACGACGTAGGCAACATGGTTTGCCCCGCCTGCAATTCCGCAATGATTTGTGGAACAATTATGGGCGGAGGCGGCGTGGCCTGAAAGAGCGAGGCCTGAGGAGTAGCTGGCGCTGCTCCTCGAAGGCGGCCGCCTTGGACTCCTCCTTGGTGAGCTGTTCGAAGCTGGCCAGCAAAGCCTGGGTCAGCAAAACCTCCGTGGCCAAGGTCCCTCTGGTGCTGGGCAGGAGGTGAGCAAGATCTCCGCGGCGCGGTCGGCCTCCTGCGCCTCCTCGGACCTCTTGGTCACCCGGTTGATGTCGGAGGACTGATTCGACACCCGCTCCTTCGGCAGGAACGAAGAAATGTGCATGAACTGCAACACCGCGTGCTCCTGTCTCTTGGCCTCCAGCAGCGCTGAACCTTCTGCCAAATAGCCTCCTGGGCCTGGATCTGCTGCTCCATCGCGTTCGTGGCCACCTTTGGGTACTGGCGGTGCGCGTTCCTGTCCACGGAGAGCGCGGGCGGCTCGACCCGCAGGTGGTGAGCCTTGGCCTCCTCCAGCGTGGCCACGCGCTTCTTCTCCAGGGACGTGGGCGCCGCCTTGGCCTCTCCTGCTGCTGAGGCGGAAGCCGAGGACTGTGCAGGACGGCTGCGAGAGAGGGCGCGAGACTGCGAACGGTCCATCCTCCGCGGGCGACGGTCGTTGGGGTGGGACTTGGTACACCATGAAGTGGAAGCAGGATGCGATGAGCCACATCGCGAGCAGTACCAGGGCCCGCTGCGTGTCTGCCATGGCGACGACTGCGATGACATCGGCGGCTGGGGCTGACTGCCGTGGTGAGCTGAAGGCGTGAGCTTGGCCGACGCTTGGCGCAAAACTGTTCGGGCTTGGCTGCGGCGCTCGCGGGCGCGCCGATGCCAAGCTGGCTCGCTGCTGCGTAGCCGACGGGCCGTGGCGCTGGCCACAAGTCGGCGGCACGGCATGCCAGGGGCGCCGAGGAGGCGCTGGCTGGCGCGTATGGCCGCCCGTCCCGAGCGAGGCGCGCGCTAGCTGGTAGCGCCCCCAGGTGCCTCGATCCGGGACGGCGGCTGGGGGAGGGCGAGGGAGGAGGGAGGGTTGGGAGAGGGAGGGCGAGGGAGGGTGGGGGCGATCGGCCTCGGCCAGGAGCAGAGAGCACGGAGGACGAGGAGCCTAGCATTCGCACACACACACACACACACACACACACACACACACACACACACACACACACACTTTTCCGACAGCGGCGAGGCAGAGTTGGCTGCACCAGCGAAGGAGCTACACACACACACACCGCCGTGGAACAAACTAGAAAGTACGACTGCGGTTCCTTTTTGCTGCTTCCGGCCTCTGGGGGGCCCTCACCAGGCTACGAGGCCGTCAAAAAGCACACTCTGGACGAGTGGTTGGTGTCGGCCTCCAGGGACTCTCTCGCCAGGTTCCCAGGGCCATCAAAAACAAGCCTGGATGAATTCGGGTAAGATCGATTACAACATAATCTGAACCAGAAATTTGTGTTTTTTCTGCGAATCTGAGCAACATGCTGAGAATACCACGTAGACTCACGAACATCCCATGTTTTCTCCCTTTGGTTCAACGAAAAGAAACAAGTTTTGGGTACATTAAGTCTGTAGCCGGTCTGCTACTTGGTAAATGGTTGGTCCGACAAGATCATGGGGAAAGGGTGAAGGCAACCAAAGATCCACGATGCGAGACATGACCGCGTCGGGGGACTGGGTTCAGGCGGCATGCAAAATCACGACGGGCGGTCTGCTTCGCCCTGGACCGCTGGCAACGGGCAGCACGAGAATTCCCAGGAAGGCCCAAGACGAAAAAACGGTCCCAGGGGAAGGGCCGAGCGCTGTGCGAGGATGACCTTGATACCGGGAAACTCCCAACGACGCGAACATAGAATACGGCTTGTGTGCACGCGGAGGGTCAGAACTATCCGATAGAAAGGAGGGTGTGGCACAGACAGGGGAAACCAAGATAGGAGGGCAATATCATACTGCTTTGGTGATTTGCTTCCCGCGGTTACGGTCAGCATCAGATTGATCTGGTGAGCTGCTCCCCGCGGTTGGGTTCAAGATTCGCCGCCCCCCCGCCCCCTGCCCGAACGGAGAGCACGCGTGTCTGGCTCGCGGCCGCACACAAAACACGGATCAGGCGGCCCCCCCCCGATGTGACGCCGGGCCCGCCGTCGGGACTGGAGGCCGCCGCAATAGGGTTCGAGTTGATGGCCTCGGGGGGACGTCGCCGCCTCGCCAATGCATCGAACGCGCATCGGCGATGTATCGGCGACGTTTGCGTGAAGAAAATCTGGCTCTACTCGGCGGCGAGCGAGGGGGGCGAGAAGAGAAGGCCCTCTCAGAAGGTGTCCGTGCCTTCTGAGAGGCATTCCGTGCCTCCGGTGAAGGCTTAGCAAACCTCTCGGAAGTCCGGGGAACCTCCGAGCCTTGTGAGAAGGCCCACCCCTTCTCACCTCCCACCGGGCTCGCCGCCGAGCCATGAGGAACAATCACTTGAATAAGAAAACTGAATCGTGTGTGGCAATTCCCCGACCCCCAGCGCCACGACGACACACGACGAACCCCCGGTCGCCGCCGACGGCCCCCGCTCCTTCCGCCCCCCGCCCGCCCCCGTTTGCCGCTTCCCCTCTCCTCCTGCTTGGTTGTGTCTGCTCGTCGCGTTTTTCCTCCTTCTCCTCGCCTTCCTCCTCCTCCTCCCTCCCTCCCTCCCTCTCCGGGCGGCGCAGCCTGCCCAGAGCCGGCGTTGCTCTGCCCGAAGCGGGGGCCCGATGTTCGGCGAAGCTCGCCGGACAGCTTCTTCCAGAAGCGTCGGCTCGCATTTGGCGCGTCGTGGCCTCCTCGTTTGGAGTTGGCTGTGGATGCCAGGGGAGCGAGGCCCATCCCCAAGAGGACGCGGACAGAACGGAACCCCCATCCGTTTTTCTGAGGGGGGGCTTGTCTCCGGGCTGGCCGCCGATGCGGGAACCCCCGATCCACATCGAGCCGCATCGCCGATGCATCGGCGATGCAGCGCGATCCACCAGCCCCATCTGCTTCGATTCCGTGCAGGGCGGCCAAGCGGGCCCCGAGGACATGGACAGGTCGGCCCTCGGCGAAAGACTGGAGCAGGGGAAGGCGCCGAGAGGCTCCAGGGGTCAAAAGAAGGACGACGAGGGCAAGGGAGGAGGAGGAGGAGGAAGAGGAGGAAGAGGAGGAAGAGGAGGAAGAGGAGGAGGAGGAGGAAGAAGGAGGAAGAGGAGGAGGGAGCCAGAGTAGGGAGTAGGGACGCAAAACAAAAGGCAAAGTAAGGACAACATCGAGCTAGCTAAATCGGGCAATGCCTGATCCAGTTGGGCCGGGATCCGCTCCAGAACGCCCTGATATGACCTGAGAAGTCTAGAACGACTTACCCGCCTGGCATGATCGCGGCCTTGGACGGAGAGCTGCTAGGGAAGAGGGGCCACGACATGGTCGTTTCCCCAGCGGCGGCGGCGGTTATCCCGCCGGCAAAACGATGGCGGAAAACATCCGCGACGCCGCAACTTTGCCGCCAGGATCCGTCGGCTGGACGCCACGCGGAACGGCAAGGGCAAGGGCTGGGGTAAGCAACTAACCACCACAACCATCACCTCAACCCACAACCACCACCACCACAAACCAACACCACCACCACCACAACCACCACCACTACCACCACCACCACCACCCACCACCCACCACCCACCACCACCACCAGCACCGCTACCAGCAGCAGCAGCACCACCACCACCCACAAACCACCACGCCACCTCCACCACCACCGCCATCACCAATAACATCATCACCGTCACCTCAACCCACCACCACCAAACCGCCACACAATCACCATCACCACAGCCACCACCACCACCACCATAACAACTCACCACCACCACCACAACAACCCACCACCACAAACAACAACGTTCTGCCACACCACCACGCCACCACAACCACCACCACCACCACCACCACAACCCACCACACCACCACCACCACCACCACCACAAACCACCACACCACCACCACACCACCACCACCATCGCCACCACCACCACCACCACCAGCACCACCACCACAAACCACCGCCACCTCCACCACCGCCACCAACAACACCACAAGCCACCACACCACAACCATCATCACCACCGCCACCACCACAACCACCACAAAAAAACCACCGCAAACACAAACTACCACCGCACCACCACCAAACTACCACCATCACCACCAACCATCACCACAACCATTACCACCACAACAAACCACTACACCACCACCACAACCACAACCACCGCCACCACTACCACCACAACCCACCGCCACACCACAAGTACGACCACCACAACCATCACGACAAACCACCACACCACTACCGCCACCAGCACCACCACCTTAACCCACCACCACCACAACTACCATCACCACCAACACCAGAAACCACCGCACCACCACCACCGCCACAACCACCATAACTTGCCACCGCGACCGCCACAACAACCACCACCGCAACCACCACCAACCACCACACCACCACCAACACCGCCACCACCACCACGGCTACAACAACCACCACCACCAGCACCACCACAGCCCACCACCACCACCACCACTTCAGAGAGGCCTCAAGAGACGCCCAAGAGGCGCCCAGGAGGCTTCACAAATGCCCTTCAGAGGCCCCCCAGAGCCCTCCGACGAGACCTCAAAAGGCACCCATTAGGACTCTGACCCAAAACCAAGGCACGGTGGCGGAGCGTCGTTGTTGTCATCGTCGTCGCCGTCGTCCTCGTCGACGCTCCCCGCCGCCGCCGCCCGCCGCCGCAGGCGCTGGCGCCGGCCCAGAAAAGGAAGTGGTCGCCCCCGCCGCCGCCGCCAGCCGCCGCCGACGCAGGCGCCAGCCCAAAGAAACGGAGAGGGGAAAAGTAGGGGAGGGGGGGGGAAGGGTGAAAACCCCGCTCTCTTCAGTACAGCCCCTCCGTCACGGGAAGGGAGGAGGGGTAGGTGGGGGGGTTCGAACCTCCCCCCTTAATCCAGGGGGGAGGGTGGGGGGCACGGTTCCAAACCCCGCCTCTTCCAAGCGACAACAGAACGCGGTCTTTCATATATATATATATATATATATATATATGTGTGTGTGTGTGTGCGTATGTATAAATATATGTATATATACACACACGCGCTTGATGGGGACTGGCTCAGGAGGGGGGCATTAACTTTGCATCGACGACGCATCGCCGATAGATCGTTAATAGGCCCCGACACGGAACAACTCGTTCCCAGGCAGGCTGGAGCGCCCAGGCCTCGATCAGCAAGGAGTGGGGCCGATGTACATCCCCCTCTGTAGTCGTAAGTCGGCGACGCTAATCCCTGCCCCCGCGCCCTCCTTCGGACGGCCGCGCCTGCAACTGCTTCTCGGTCAGCGGCGTCGCTTTCTTTGATTCGCGGCGGTAATCCTCCTCCCGGGAAGGGCCCCATCGATCCGCGCCGCCTGTCCCGGCTGGCCCCCCGTGCTGCACAGATCTCCGTCGTCTGGGCATGAAGAGGTCCACTTCGGGCCCTGGGGCCACAAGCTAAACGGCCTGGACGAAACAACGGTCTCCTGGGTGGGGTCGAGAGGATTGGAAACACCATGACGTCGAATGGTGGGAAAACTACACCGTGTAATATCTAAATGGGGTAACTGACCCACCACAAGATCCAGACGGAGAAACTTCAACGGCCGGAACAACAACCTGCACGGCAGTTTTCAGCAACGCGAAAACACTGCACTGCAATTGATCTTCAACGAATTGCGGAAAAATTGCAAGCACGCATAGGTGCTTCCAAAAGGGCAGGGGGCGGCGGTAATTCGCCACGGGCGTCTTCAATAGTTCTGAGGGGATCGACGAAGCCACCCGCCAGGGAGGAAAGGGGATGATGATGATGATGATGATGATGATGATGATGAGGAGGAGGAGGAGGAGGAGGAGGAGGAGGAAGAGGAAGGGGAGGAGGAAGATGGGGAGGAGGAGGGGGAGGAGGAGGATAAGGAGGAGGACGAGGGGGGCCTTGGGATTATCTCTATATCCTCCTCGCACCCTCGCACCATCCTCCTCGCACCCTACCCCACATCCTCCTTCACCTCCGCATCCCCACCCCCATCCATATCTCACCTCCTGCGCCCTCCTCAATTCGGCATAATCTCTGATACCTTCGGATACCTCATCGGATACCTCACCAGATACCTCATCGGATACTTCGTCGGATACCTCGGATGCCATGTAATTTACAAGGGATTGTAGCTGCGCGACGCATCTCGGATACCTCTCGGATACCTCGAGCAACCAAATCTCGGACACCCTCGGAATCCTCATCGGATACCTCGCCTCCAGGCCTTAAACTCACACCTCGACCTCATGCCTTCTCCTCATCACCCACGCCGCTGTGCCCGCCCTCCAAATCCTGCTTGACACTCCCTCCCGTCCAACCCGCCCTCCTACGCCCTCCTCCTCATCCTCCTGCACCTCCTCACCTTTCCTCACTGCGACCGCTCCGCTTCCCCGCCTCGCCCTGTCTTGCCGCCCGCTTCGCGTTCTGTCCACCTCCCCTCCTCCCTCCCCCTCCTCCCTCCTCGCCTCCGCATCACCTTCCCCGATCTCGCGCGCGCCCGCGGGTTACGATGACGGAGGAGGGGAAGGAGGAGGAGGAGGAGGAGGAGGAAGAGGGCGCCAACATCAAGACCGTCCGATACTCTTACCTAACTTTTGAAACCGTCCCATAAGTCCCATAACAACCCTACGCCTGTTGCAACCGAACTTATGGTGCTCTACTAGTTTGTTGTAAATACCTTGTAACAATATTGGCAACCTTATATGTCAGTTAGCAACCAGGGCATGTGCGTATATGATAGTACATGTTAATTATACCATCTGAACATTATAACAGCATACAAACTAGTTGGCCAACATATACATGCAGTTGGACAGGTTAGAAGCCGACTTGTCTGGTTTAGCAACTATGTTGTAAGCAGCGCAATGCAAAAAAAAAAAAAACAAAAAAACAGACGCCGGGGCACCCGGACGCCCGGGGCGCCCAGCGCCGGGACGCCCGGGCAGCCCGGACGCCCGGGCGCCCAGCCGCCCGCGGACGCCCGGGCCGCCCGGGCGCCCCGGACACCCGGACGCCGGGATGCCTGGACGGCGCCCGGGCGCCTGGACGCCCGGACGCCGGGAGCGCCCATGGGCGCCGGCCCGGGGCGCCCCGACGCCGGGGCGCCCGGACGCCCGGGGCGCCAGGCGCCCGGACGCCCGGGCGCCCAGACAGCGTCAGGCGGCATTGTGGTATTGTGGCGGCGGGACGCATCCGTTGCGAATTGATGCGTCGACGCCAGACCTGCGACGTCGTCCTTTCTAAGATACCGACACTGCTACACCCCTGACCGCCGTGGCGACGAGGGGTAGCGGTATCAGCACCTGTTCCTCCTCCCCCATCCCCTCCCTCCTAGAGAACTTAACGATGACCTAAACATGACAACGCGGAGGTCCGCGCAGATTTCTTATGGATCGGCGCTCGACCCCCTGGTGACGCCTCCGGCGCGGACCCCTGGCGCGCTCCGCGCCGATCCAAGAAATCTGCGCGGACCTCTGAATGTTGTTTATGCCATTGTTTGTTCCCTGACTCCCTCCCCTTCCAGGACTGGGAAAACCAAGAGGTACCGATACCGCTACTCCCTGGACTTCTCCCGGGATGCGTTTGGATCAGGATTCCGATGCGAATCCAGCGGTGGCGCCAAGGGCCTCCCACGAGGCCCCAAAAAAGGGAAAACGAGGCCCAGGCCGAAAGCGGTATCGGTACCTTTTCCTCCTCTGAGTCCCGTCCCAGAGGTCCTTCTCCAGCTCCTTCCGCGCCTCCCCGACGAAGGCCTCCCAGACGGAGTCCGACACGGCTCCTACGCCCCCAGGGCCAAGGCGGCCGCTGCCGCCTTCGGGGTGAACCGCGGCGCCGCCGGAAGGGGTGGGGCGGTGGAGGCAAATCACGGCGGCCGGTTTTGGGCAGTGGTCAGCCTCTGGGAGCCCATACCAGACCAAGGAACGTCGGAACACGACTCAGGACGAAAAGCCAGCCTCCGAGAAAAGGCCCTCGATTCTAAAGGTACGAAAACAGCAGCACGACGTCGGATGTCAGGGGAGGGAGCGATGGAGGGAGGGGGAGAGACGGGAAGAGGGGGGAAAGAAGGGGCGGAGGAGCGGGGAGGCAAAACAGCACGGCATACATCTCTAACCATGAACTGAAGAAGAGGCCGCGAGGTGCACTCAGCGCGGTTGTCGCACGCGCCTGTCGGGCGGCACTCGCGCGGGGCATTGGTCGGCCGCGGCCAGCGCCGCTGCCCCGTCGCTGCATTTGCGGCGGCCCACACATTCACCCCTGACTCCCCGTCAACGGACTTCCTGCTTTTACATTGAATGACGAAGAAAACAAGTCTTACGTAAGATGCCATAGCGGCCTTGCGCCGCGGCTTACGCGGACCGCGCGGCACGCCACGTTCGAAACGAGGGCGGTCACGCAAATCTTACGCGGGTAGCTCACGCGCCAATGTCCGTGCAGACGGCCCCGCTTTTCTGCATCGCTTGCATGATCCCTTCCCGGGTGACAGTGAGCACGCGATGGTGAAATAGAGGCCTCCCAAATAGGGTCCGAGTAGATGGGGTCGGAGAATCGCGCCGCATCGACGATGCATCGGCCATGCACCGGCGATGCATCGGCGACGTCGGCGGTGCATTGGCGACATCGGCGTGGAGAACATCGGGCTCCACATCGAACCGCATCGCCGATGTGATCCTCCGACCCCATCCACTCGGACCGCATCTGGGAAGCCTAGACCTGCACCCCACTGCCTCCGCCCTCCCCCCCTGCCCGCCGCCTCTTCGCGGGCGCGAGCCCCGCGCGCCCGCCCACGCCGCCACCAGCAGCGCGGCCGCGCCCTGCCGCCCCACCAGCGCGCTGCGCGGCAGCGCGCCCGCGACGCCCTCCAGGGCCTCGGGCGCAGGTCGGGCTTGCCCTCGATCGGGGGCGTCCAGGGGAGCGTCCACGAAGAGGGTTCGCAAACCACGGCCCGAGGCAGGTGCGCGGCTTGGACTGAACGACGTGGTGGTTACAACAATGGTATGTACTGTTGTCTGCTTCGCGCGGGCAAACACTATCCAAACAGGCAAACCACCATTCCGTAATCAACGTGGTGGTTGGAAAGTCGTGCAGGCAATCCATCACGGAGGGCGCGCCGCTGGATGTCCCCAAGGGGGGTTAGAACCCCCCCCCGCTTTCCCCGATCCGTCGTCGGGGAACCCCCCCACCCACCCCCTTTCCCGATCCGTCGTCGGGGACCCCCCCGCCCCCTCCCCCCCTTTCCCGGTCCGTCGTCGGGGAACCCCTTCCCCCTCCCCCCTTTCCAAAGGGGGGAGGGGTCCGACCCCTCCCAACCTCCTCCCCTTTGGCCGCCAAATTCGACCCCCCCCTTCCCCCCTTTCGCCACGGCGCCCGTGGTCTCCGGAACCCGACCCCTACCACCCCTGACACTAATCCTCACCCTTGCCCTAACCCCTAATCCGAACCCCAAACCCAAACCCTGGCCCCAAACATTACTCACTACTCATTACGCACTACCCACTACCCACAATTCACTCCTCGCTGCTCACTACCCACTTCTCACTACTCACTACTCATTACTCACGACTCACTACTCACTACACCCACGACGCACTACCCACTACCCACTACTCACTACCCCCTACTCCTTACTCACTACTCACTACAAACTACTCACTACTCACTACCCACTACCCAATACTCACTACTCACTAAACACAAATCACTGCCCACTACTCACTCATCACAAATCACTACTCACTACCCACTAACCACAATCCACTACTCACTACCCACTAACCACAATCCACTACTCACTACCCACGCCTCACTGCCCACAACTCACTACTCACTATCCACCACTCGCTACTCCCTACTCCCTACACAATACAATACTCACTACTCACTACTCACTACTCCCTACACCCTAGTCGCTACCAGTACGCACTATTCACCACCCACTCCTCACTACTCACTACGCTCCCACTACTCACTACTCGCTACTTCCTACTCCCTACTCACTACTCCCAACTCACTACTCACTATCCAATGCTCAATACTCACTACTGACTAAATACTACTCACTGCCAACTACACACTGCTCACTTACCACGATCCCCTAATTGCGACAGGGTACTCACTACTCACTACTCACTACGCACTGCCCACAACTCACTACTCACTATCCGCTACTCGCTACCCAATACGAACTCCATCCAGCCCTTTAGGGCGTGAGTGGTTTGGATTGTCCTCTCTGTTCTCAACCCCCTTCTTCTCCTTCGGGGAAGGGCTAACCCCTCCACCCACCCCCTCCCCCTGGGCCTGGAGAGGGGGGGCCGCGGGTCGCGAGGGCGTCCTTTGTCGGTCCCTGGGAGGTTCATTTTTTTTGGCACCCTTCACAGGGATCGTGGCCCCAGGGCGGCAATGGAAGCCGACACCTAATACAATGTTATTGCTGGAGCGTTGCGCTGGCGTGGGAGGTTGTGCGAAGATGCAACTTCGGATCCGATGCGACGGATGGCACTAAGATATGCAATGCGTTTCCCGCTAAGCAGCCTGAAGCTCAAGGGCCCTGAACCACAATGTTACACAGTCAGTACATCATGAAACGATGGGGCAAGCACGTGCATGCAAGCATCATCACTTTCACTCGTTCTAAAATTCTGCTGCTCCGAGGCAATCCCGGGAATGGGGAAACACGCATGGCATATCACGCGTGCAATTATGAACTCAGGGCTGTCAGCCGTCGACCGGCTTAAATTCATTCAGCTCAACGGTGTTAAAAATCTACAGAAAGAAAGCAGGTGCACGCGTACTTTACCAGGTGTGAGCGCGCGCGCTATACACACGCAGCGCGCTGACAGGCAGGCAGAAGGGCAGGCTAGCAGCAGCAGATTATTTGTCGTCGGCTCGACCGGTCAAACCGCTGTCCGAGCACCGATCCATTCACCAAGTCATCACCGCCATATCCATTTCTCCCATGTCGTAGCCCATGAGGGCAATCTCGTGTTATTGTCATCATCATCTGCTGGAGGCGTGTCTTGATGAAGCATGACTCTGCCATTCATTGCCGCTCGAATCTGCGCACCGTCCATCCCCTCTGCCAAAGCATCAGCCACCATGCACTTCACAGGGCACCATGAAAGAGGCAACTTTGATTTGGTAGCGGCAGCAACGTCCTCACATAGCTCATCTTCGAACAGCTCCCTCAAACCTATCAAATCTAAAACACAACGGCGTTCTGTTGGTAATGTGACAGCTCCTTCTCGATGAATGGTGTCATACAAAGATGCACAGTCGGTCACACGCTGCATGCGGCACAAGCTCGGGTCTGCATCGTCGATCGTCATGTTAGGGTAAATTATGTTCAGCACCGAAGATCGCATCACAATAGCTGATCCCAATGCGTCAACTGCACTCATGGCTTCCGCTGCAGACGTACTTCGGCATACTCGTCTGATGGTAGCGGATCGCCATCGTTGAGGATCTTCTTCTCGGCCACGAATATCAGGAATCCTGCTTGACTCTTGGCTTCGAGGCGCTTGGGCGCTTCCGAGGCGAAGGCCGTGCGTGCTCTGCGGGCACACCACCAAGCAACCCCAGAGACCTCGTCATCTGGCTCGTCGACGTTAGCCCAGGCGGCGTCGTGGAACACCAGAATGCACAAGTCTCCCTCCATCTTCGGAATGGTGACGCCCGTCTCCTTGAGGCGATGAGCCTCGGACGCGATGCGGTCGGTCTCGATGAGGTCGGCCACGACCGGCGAATCTGAACTCTCTGAGACATCGATACTCCTGAGCTGATAAATCTGGTCGTGTCCGAGTCGCAAGCAAGCCCAAACTTCCACCAAGCTTCTGTTCTCGGCGATCTCCAACTCCGTGGCTGGACATCCCAGGTCTCGCTTGCGCTCCTTGGTGAGGTCGAGTGGCTCCAGCTTGTCGGCGAACACCTCTTGGCATAGGCTAACTGAACCGTCGGCTCGAGTAGTCGCATCCTTCGCGCAGAACGTGCAAGGTAGTCCTTGCCAACCTCCAATGGAAACAACTCCTTGATGGTCTGGTAGCTGGACTTTGTGCTAGCGGCTATCAGTAGGTCGTCGATGCGAACACATACGATGGCCTGCAAAGATCCATCTGCACCAGGTCCAACGAGCAAGGCTGGGTCCACCAGGCTCTGCACCAGGTTGAACTTGCAGCCGTTCTCGCCGATCAACTCCACTTTGAGTAGGGTTCTCTTCAGTGTGGCCCACCATTGCCTTGGAGCCGTCGCAAAACCAAATACACCTTTTACAACTCCTAGCACTTGTCCAGGTATCAATCCGGGCAATCCTTGAGCAGGTCGTTCCATGAAAATCTCCTTCTCGCGAAGTTGCTCCACGCCCTGCATGAATGCGGACATGATGTCTGCGCACACAGGCTCCCAGCCGTGCCGAACCGTCACGATGAAAAACAGCAGCGAGCTCGTACGCGTCACGGTCGGAGCGTCGGTTCTCAAAGCTCCGGTTTGTAGATCTGGATCGCGGTGTCCTCCAGCGCACAGCCGAGCTATGGCCTTAACTGGTACTGGCTTCGCCTCCGTGCGCATGGTAGCGTTCTTGTCGCGAAACGCGAACCTCGACGGCAGGAACCGACCCTTGTCGCGCTGCTCCTTCGCCTTGGCTGAGACCTCGGGCGACATCACCTCCACCGGCCCGAACTTCTTCCACTCTTCCCAGTGCTCCGCGATCGCCTTGAGGTAGAGGCCCTTCTGCTCGTCGGGAATGTCCTTCCAAGCGATCTCCTTATCTCGCAACTTCTTCTGGGGCCTCTCGCTCTGGGCTCGAGCTCCTCGCAGCATCGCGGCGAAGGCGGCGTTGGTGGAGCTTCCTTCGTCCAAGTCGTCATCCGCGATCGTATAATATGGCCGGGCTGCTCGACGTGCAGCTTCTGCCTTGGCTCGTGCCGACTTGATACACAGCGGCGCGTCGTCGAATGGGCTGCGTGCCGCTCGTCGTCTCTGGAACTCCTCGCGACTCCAACTTCCGCAGCCTGGCCCTGCGATTTGCCGGGCTTGTCCGGGCGTTGCTGACGAGGAAGATGCCGACGCAGGCCCCCAACTGAGAGCTCGCCCTCAGCGGGGGGGAGCTCGACATCAGCTTCACCTTGTGGCTGCGCAACTTCTGCGGCGGGGTCTGCCTCGGGCGGCCCAATCTCTACGTCGGCAGCTTCTTCTCCTTCTGGCGGCGGCGGTGGTTCAGCTCGAATGTCCTCGCACTCCCTATCGGCGGCCACGTCGGTGCCCCTGTTGGCGCGCTGCAACTGCTCGATGACCTCCCCGCGTTGCTCGTCGACACCAAGCCACCAGATCTCCTCGGACGAGATCGGTCGAGCGCGCAGTGGAGCAATGAGCTTCGTGAATTCACCGTGCGATATCCAATAGTTTGGGCCCTGCTTGCCTAGAACTACTGCCGGACCGAGCCAGGTCCCTTTCTTGATGGAGCCCTTCTTGAGCTGCCGATAGCAGAAGCACAAGTCTCCCTGCTCCAAGGGATGGGGGGTAACTCGGGCACGTCCAAGAAGATCCTTGCGCAAGGTGCTGTCGTTCTGCATATACATGAAGGCCTTGCGAGCCGCTGCCCCCATCTGGAGCTGTCGCTCCATCGGCTGTAGCTCCGCGCCCTCGCGAGCAGCATCGCGGTGAGCTCCGTCAACCAGGTCGGCAGGTAAACGGGCGCTCTTTCCAAACACCCACTGATCCGGACTGAAGCCGCACTGTCGGCGCAAAGCGTTCTTCGCACCTGTGACAACGGACGAGAGCACGCGCATATCTGACTCGCCAGCTGCTTGAGCACGCGAAATCGTCCTCTCGGCTAGCTCCTTCCACGAGCCCCCTTGCCTTTCAGTCCGCCCATGTTGCCGCGCGGCTTGTCCTGCCACTGGCACCGCGGCGCAGTGAAAACTGTCGAGCATCTCCTGGACGACTGAGCAAAATCCTCTCTCGAGATCCACCGCGACGCATGTCGGAGGTCCTGCCCAGCTGGTCCAAATCTGAGTAAATACCCGCGCGAATATTTCTGAACCATGGCTCTCGACCATTCCAACCACGTAAAATGTAGCACCCAAATCCGCCACTGAGAGAAAATCCCACGACTGGCCGTTCGCGTCCTTGATCGTGAAACAGTCCAAGCCGATCTGCTCGTTGAAGTCCGCCGTGTGAGATAGTCGAGCTGGGCGCGCAATCTTCTCGGCCTTGCCCATAAAGGACGCGCGCCGCAATGACTCAGCCGCCTTGACCACCTTAGCTCGGCAGCCTGAGAACCTTAAAGATCGTGCCAGGTCTTCATTACTAGGATGGCCCAAGTTCTGGTGTAGCTGACGCAGCGCCGATAAATCCTTACTCGGGCACTCCGAGCTTCCAGGACCGAATTGAATAGCTTTGGCGCCCAGTTCGCTGGACACCGGCTCCGGCTTGCACCACAACTGCACCTTCAACTTGGCCGTGCGATTCAGCTTGGCTCGTAAATGATCCAGGGTGATATCTGCCTTCTCGAAGTCCTGCAGCACCGCGTCGGCGTCGAGATCCGTAATGCGGCGACGTCCCACTCGTGCCCAGTCGGGGCCGTCTGGAAGCTTGGTCGGCAGCTCCCTGTACACACCGATGTTCTCGTAGTAAAACCACTCATCGGACTCTCCGCCCATGAAGTCCATCAGGTCTCCGGTCGCGGAAAATCCGCACTCCATCATGTAGGTCGAGTTGCTGCACTGATATGCCTAGCACTGCTTTCGCAAACTCCTTGGTATATCTGCCAGCCAATCGTGTGTAGTGAGATCCCTTCAAGTGGTCATGATGATGTTTTCCGTCGCATGTCTTGCCCAACTTCCTGACGCGAGGCTCGTTGGATACGAAGAGCTTGGTCGACTTGCGAACCTCACCTCCATATCTCGGATGTCGTAAGTTGAAGCGGCACATGTCGACTTTCAACTCATGAACTCTAGGATGGGCCATCACACGTAGCAACTGCGGCTGCTCGAGTGCGTCTGATTCCCAAGGCTTCTCGACGAGGATGTCGCTCTTGTTGCCCAACTGCAGCATGCTCATCTCTTCAACGAATTCGAGTAGCGGCTTGACTCGTAACCTGTTCCCCCTCAACTCTTGAAGTCGATATTCGCATCTGTAGTTCATCATTGTGAGCTGCGTCCAGATAGCACAAGGAAGCTCAAGCGTCACGAGCCTAGGTCCGCAAGCATGATGCATATTCAGAACTTCGCGTCGATCAGCGGGCGCGCGCAGGTTGTAGTTGTAGCGTTGGCCTATGGGCTCGCATACCTTCAAGCCTGCCTGACTGAACTCCTCGGATAGGACAGCTTCGCCGGCGAATATCTGCATCAAGTCATAGCGTAGATCTGTCTTGACACTGAAAACGTCGCGCATGTCCTGAAGGATGGCCCTCCCTTCGTTGAAGAGAGGCTTAATCAGGCACGATCCAAGGGACGCCGTCTGCCACGTGAGGAACATTAGAGCCTTGCTGACCATGTCCTTGAAACGCTTAGTTTGACCTGGCTTCATCTTCCTCTTCAATCGCGGCGCTTCCGGCGACTCTTCCCGCTCGGTGCGATCATTTCCCACGGCTGGTCCTCCTCCACTCCGATGTTTTCGGCGGTCACAAAGTCCTCCTCGCTGATCTGGTCCTCGTCCTTCTCGGAGCTGGCGGGGCTCGCAGGCTCTTTGACCGCGCTCGGCCTGGCCGCGCAGGCCCCCGAGCGTGAGCTGGCACTCCTCGAAGCACCCCTCGAAGTCGAAAGCTGCTGCAGCGCTTCTTCCTCCTTCAGCTCGTCATTCTTGATCGCTCTCGGAACTTGCCCCTGTAGCCAGCAGATGATCTTGTCTTTCAGCATGTCGTCGATGACCTTGATGCCCTTCTTCTTGGCCAGAACGAGCAGCTCCGCGCGCTTCATCTTGGCGATGCCCTTCAAGTCTGGGTCCAGAACGGGATACTTATTCTTGACCTGGCCGTTCTGGATCCGCTTTTCGTTGAGAATGACGCGCACCTCTCGGCAGCTTAGCCCTTGGCGCGCCAAATCGTTGTCCCCCATCTCGTCCTGGAGCTCGATCTTCACCATGTTGCCCAGTGGCAGCAGGCGACGCGGTGCTCGGGGTTCGCGATCTTGAGATGCGACGCTCTCCCCCAGACGGCGCCCGTTGTGGAAGATCAGCCCCGCCGACGGACCCGTTGTTGCCATCGCCGTTGCTGCGTAGAGAAAGCGAAACAGGCGCTTCCAGCGTACTAGAACGGCCGCGTTGTAGCGCTCGTTGGTGTCCACGTCCAGGACATCCCAATTCGAGATCCATGCGAGGGCGGTAGCTGGTGGCATCCCGTGCCGAGGACGTTGTATCCTCTGAATTGGTTTGAGCCCATAATGGCTGCCCAGGCTGTTTGTTATGTTTGAGCTCCTCGTCGGTCTTGGGAATGGTTTTTGCTTTTTCTGCTTGCTGTGTTTCTTGATTGCAGCTTATCATCGGCGATGTTGTCAGGCTTCAGCTTCTTCAGTTTTGGCTGATCTCTATCATCTGGCTGATATCGCGCTTGGCTCTGTCCTAGCTCTCGGTCGAATCGGACTGGCTGTGCTTGGTTTGGCCCTCGCACTTGTTCGGGTCGATCTTCGGGCTCGTCTTGAATCGCATGATGAAGTGCATGATGCCCGTGATGTTGATGACTTTCCATTTCCAGAACCTTCCGCCACCTCTGTGAAAGCGGAAGCAGCCGGATCTCAGTCTGGGCCGGGGCTCGCGTCTGGAGCCGCTGTGAAAAGTCGGGCCCGGTCGAACTCAAGCACGTTGAAACTCGGGCGTCCACTCATGGTCTGCCCCAACTCGAGGCCCTGCAAACCGAGCATTCGGAACGTCATCGTACTCTCGCCCGCCCCCTCGCCACGGTCGCGCACAGCTCCCAACTGTCCCAGCGCGCGTTGAGATAACAATCCCGCACCAGGCAAGGCACAATTGAAATCCTCAGCGTGAAATGTCGCCCTTGAATGGCGAGTGGAATGAGAGCGGCTATCACACTGGCAACTGGCCCACCAGCACCGAAACGAAACATCTCGTGCTCATCAATCTCGATCAGTCGCAAACCAAGCTTAGCCAAACGCCTCTTGCTGTCATCCTACCAAATTTGACCTCCAACGGCCTTAGCGCAACAAGAATCTGGCAATAAATCACCACCACATTGTTGCAACCGCTCCTCCTTTGGGGCCATAACCACGTTCACGGTCGGGAAGTTAGCGCGAATCAGCTGGTGGCGTATCTCTCGACGCGCAAAATTGATAAGGAAACTCTGCTCGGAAATATGATTCTCCTTGTCGCTCCAGTTGAGATTCGTCGTGTGGTAGCCTTCTGCTGGACGCTCTCCTTCATCTTGATGGTCGTCGTCCTCAGTTCCAGCCATGTGAACTTTCTTCTGTGGTCCAGGGCATTCAGGAACTCCTTTCCAGTGTCAGATCCTCTGACACACTGCGCAATGAGTTCGTGCCTTCAACTTCGCAATGCGAGCGCTGCCCTTTCCACCTGATGATGAGCCTCGTCCAGCATCGCGCCCCTTGCCCGAACCGCTCTTGCCGGATCCCAGCAAGCGATCTCGATGATAAAAACCTCTAGCTTGCTTCGCATCACGTTGTCGATCCTTGGCCCGGACAAGCATCTTCACTAACTTGAAAACCTCGGCCTCCGCGTCGGCTTGCTCCTCCAGAAGATCCTCTGGCACGTCCTCCGCGTCGACATCTGTATCGAACGTCTCGTTGTTCGTCGCCTCCTCGTCGTTTTCTTGCTCTGTCATGTGCGCTCCCCATCTTCGTTGCTGAGGCGTGTAGCCCGACGGCCTCGCCGCCGGATGGGTCGATGCGGACTGCGGTGGACGACGAGGGCTGTTGCGGCCCATCATCTTCGCATCCTTTACGCTGAGCAACACCTGCTTCTGCAATGGCTTCAGCCCATACTTGTTCTGATTGGCGCTTAGAGCTCCTGCCTCGCGATCGGGCGGCAACCCAAGCCACCGCGTGAAAAGCCGCGCCAATGCCTGGTCAGGAAACTCGATACTCAGCGTCTTCAATCTTGATACCTGCGTGTCGAATATGTTGATGTAGCCTCTCATATCTTCTTCGTTCTCTCGTCGCACCTTAGTGAAGAACGTCTTTAACTCTGCGCCAAGCTCCATGACCTTCTCATCGTCGAACTTCTCGGCGAGGAAATCTAGCAGCGCTTGGACCCCATCTTCATTCTGCAGAGTCGTTGGGCCCAGATCTTCAGCATGAACCCAGGCGTCGCCCTTCAGCTCGCCATAGAACTCTGCCGCTTGCTTCTCCACTGGCACTCGCGCGCGTATCTTGAACACTGCTACTCGCCGCCGGAAGTCTTTCATCGCCATCGTCTGCGGGCCGAAGCTCGGCACTTTCACGGTGTAGCCGGGACCGCTGCCGGCACCAGTTTCATCTTCGTCTTGCGCCGCCTTCGGCGCCATCTCACAAGAGAACTCGACAAATTACTTGTAATTCAGAAACGTGTAGGGCGTCCAGCTGTTGTCCTCCAGCGTCTGCTAAAATACTGCTCGGCGCGCAATCCACCTGATAGCGGGCAATCCGCTTGGCCACTCGATGCCGCGAGATCTGCAGTCCGCGGCTCGAACTGCTCCGCTGCCAATGTGAATATGCAACTTCAGATCCGATGCGACGAACGGCGTCAAGATATGCAGCATGTTTCCCGCTAAGCAGCCTGAAGCTCAAGGGCCCTGAGCCACAATGTTACACACAGTCAGTACATCATGAAACGAGGGGCAAACACGTGCATGAACACATCATCAGTTTCACAGGTTGTGTCGCGAAAACATTCTTCAACACGGGAGCTGAGGCCAAAGTCCCTCATCACGATCTCGAGGTGCACCCTGCCAACGACATGCAGCCAGGCCGTTTCGAGCAGCTAGACCACGTTCTCGTTGCACACATATGCTTGTCTTCTGTTGTAAATCCTTGGAGCGACCGTTTGAGAGAATTGCAGTCCCACCATTTCGTCTTAATCGTGGATTTGGATATCAGCATACCAAAGACAGACCATCACCAACGCCCACCTCGGTTAAACATGGCAGATCTCCTCAATATCGGCACTGTTGCCAACTACGCAAACCGCTGCGTGGGAAACTAGAAGCAACGACCTGGGCATAGAGATCTTGAGATCTTGACCCGAAAGCGTCTGCAGTGACACAATGCATGCTTGAACCCGCTGCTGCTGCAATCCCCCCGCGCGATGCTACGCCACGGACGGCGGCCATGGATTTCTTCGAGAACGTTGCACCTCATAGATCAACGGAATATTACCAGAAACAGCAGAGCAGGCATGGACGAGGTCAAAATACTGAACAAACAAATCCAGATGTCAGCCTGTGCCGACAGACGACGGTGGCTAGATGAAGCAACGGACAAAGGTGGAAAGAGAGCAATACGAGCTCTCCAGAAAAGACAAACAACGACGACTGGAAGACTCCGCAAGTTGAATGGCAATCTTGTGGATGCTGAACAAAGGCCGGAAACGATGGCGGAGTATCTCGAACAAGTACAATGGCGTGTGTGTCATGTTGGGCTAGATTTACCAGGTATGGCTGCCGACAAAGGTTGCTTACAAATGGAAGCCGGAAGTATTACGTTAGAAAAAGTGCGACGAGCTGTGAAACATCTTCGGGTACAAAAGACGGCAGGCGACGATGATGTTCCACCCGACCTCTGGCACGCACTAGGGTCGCACAACGATGCCTTGGAAGTTCTACGGGACCTCTGCGACGCATGCTGGAAGAACAAAGATGTTCCAGCGCAGTGGCGGCAAGCGTCGGTGGTATCTATATTCAAGAAAGGTGACACGTCGCAGCCGGGCAACTACAGACCCATATCATTGTTAGCAGTCGGCTACAAGATTCTCGCCAGCATTATCTTGCATCGTTTCAAGGTGGGCGGAGCAGAAGAGAGGTTACGCGGATCCCAATATGGATTCAGACCAGGCAGAGGCACCAGTGAAGCATTGTTTCTGGCATGCAGGCTGGTGGATGCTGCTCCTGACGATAAATATGGAAAGCTGCTTATATTACTTCTGGATTGGAGCAAAGCTTTCGATGGTATCAAGACAAATGGCCAATTATTCGCACTCCGACACTTCGGCGTGCCTGCGGCGATGCTTGACATGATTGCGGCGATCTACAGGGTGCGGCGGTTCGTTGTCAAAGAGGGCCCTCTTGTATCTTGACTACAAGTTCAAGAAGCTGGAATAGCACAGGGATGCCCTTTGTCCCCATACTTTTTCATCATTGTTATGTCCGTACTCCTGGAGGCGGTGGACGACAGACGGGCAACCGACTGCGACAAGTTCACGGGCAAGCCGTACATTATCAGAAACGACGTCTGGTACGCCGACGACACGATGCTCGTGGCTGAAGGCCAGCCGACCCTCCAGAAGCATTTCACGACACTTGCACAATTTGGTAAATATGTTGGTATCGATTTGCATGCTGGGAAAACTATTTTACTAAGAGTGCGATCCAACGACACTGTGCTTGGGCCAAACGGTGAGGCAATCAAATGCGAAGAACATGCCGTGTATCTGGGCGGATTATTAAGTGCAGATGGGAAAGCCGGAACTGAGCTCACACGTCGGCGGGGGGAAGCGAGCGGAACATTTCACAAGTTATGCACAGTGTGGAGACATGCGAATATGAGCCGACGGCACAAATTGCGGGTGCTGGAAGCTTGCGTGTATAGTAAAGTGCTATATGGGCTAGAACTCTGCATGCTACTGAAGGCGGATCGGGATCGGCTTGGCAGCTTCCAAACAAAATGCTTGCGACTGATGTTCAAAATAGCGCCAGTTTTTCTGTCTCGCGTCAGCAGCACTGATGTGCGGGCGGCAGCGGGAGCCTCTTGAACTTTTATGGTAAGCTTGCAAAGGGGTCCGCCTGGCAGACTGCCCAGAGTAGTGGCATTTCAAGCTGAAGAAGACCACCGCATTCTGCCCAGGGACTGGGGCACGCCGCGCCTCAGAGGGCGCCCGCGCTTACAATGGAACGCCTACAAGCACGCTCAAGCTCTGGCTGTGGCAGGAAACGACACCGACATATTGCAAGCCCTCTTGCGTGGAACGCCGGGGCAATGGAACGCAACTGTTGTAGATGTTTGCTTTTCATCGTGCTACGAATCCGGCGCCCAGATGATACGAATACGGGGCATGTTGTACCACTTTGCCCCCCCTCCTCTTCCCCTTCCTCCTCGTCCTCTTCCTCCTCCTCCTCCTCCTCCTCCTCCTCCTCCTCCTCCTCCTCCTCCTCCTCCTCCTCCTGTGTACTGTAGCATACCCTCGCGCTTCGCTGGGGCGCAGAATTCCAGCGTACGCTTCCGAGGCACTGCGGGGGCGCGTCTGCACGAATCCAAGTCTAATGCACATGTGTTTCACCTTGCCAGTCTTCCTGCCGATGCGCCGCCCAGGCGCGGCGCTGTGTGTCTGGGCCGCTGGCGGCGTCAACGCCAGGTTGCCCAGGACTGGACCGGATTAGCAGCGGGGGAATATCCTGGGTCAGACGGCCGCCGCCGCCGCTGCCCTCGCGGGCGGCCCCTGGGCACACTGAGAGGACGCCAGCTGTACACCTGCACCGACCCCAGCCGCGCCCCGGCTCGCGCACATGATCTGTGCGCACGCCCTGGCTCAGCCAGGAGGGCGAGTGAATAGACCTAGAATGATGTCACGATGCGAGTGACTCAGGATACGCTTCAGGAGCTCCGGGGCACCTGGCGCCCCTCGTCTCTGGAGCTCTGGAGCCCGCGCGGAACAGCCCGCGCGAAACAGCACATTACTATCACTTCCTGCACCTCTGAGGTTGGTAACCGACCTTGGCCGCCGCACCCGTCGTCGTCGCGCCGCCGCGCCCTTCCCAATCCCCCGACGCCATGACTTGTTCATAACGTCGACCCCTGGAGATCTTGACCCTTTCCGTGGAAACGGATTGTCATCCTGAGTCGACTTCTTGACGGTCCCGAGGCCCAGTGAGGGCCCTCAGAGGCCGAGAACGATGAAAAACCTACGTTCCGATTTTTTCGAGACGCCCCGATGCCTGGGTTCGCTGCCTTCGCGCCGTCGCCGCCGCCGCCGCCGCCTTCGCACCATCGTCACGGGGGTGCCCTCCGACGAGCAGCGACCGCCGGGCCCGGATCCGAGCCCGCCGCCCCAGGCGGCCGCAGCGGCGCCGGCGCGGACGGCGCTGAGGCCGCGCGGTCCCGCGGGGACTGGGCCTCGACACAGTCGTCGCCGCCGTCGATGCCGAAGCCACCGCCGCCGTGGCCAGTCGTCGGCGAGTATGAGGGCGCCGTCGCCGCCCTCACACTCGCAGTCGTGCGGAGAAGGCGCGAAGTGCAGACCGTGTGACGCAGGCGATGTACATTGTGCGGCGTAGGATATGTGGGGCAAGCTATGCGTTGCAAACTACGAAATGAAAACTACATGGTGTAGGCTGTGCGCTGCAACATCTGTGGTACAAGCTTTGTGGTGTCAAGTGTGTCGCGTGAGCAATATGGTGTCAGCTATGTAGCGTAAGCTATGTGGTGCAAGATATGTGGCAAAAACCATGTCGTGCAATATATCTATGCGGCCGCCCAGCGCACGAGGCGCCGACAAGGCGCCCACGGGCGGGCACCAGGCGAAACCTCAGCGCATACACATACAGAGGCACAGCGCACGAGGCGCCCACGGGTGAACACCAGGCAAAGTCTCGGCAAACCCACCCAGCGCACGAGGCGCCCACGAGGCGCCCACAGACGGACACCAGGGAACACCTCGGCACTCCCATCTGCCACACGAGACGCCCGCGAGCCGGCATCGACAAGCCTCTTCGTCCAACAGCGCAGGACGGCCATCGAGGCCGGGCGACAAGGCCGCTGCACTTACGTCGCTGGAAGAGCAGCGGGCACTGCGGGCATCACTCTGCCTCTTCCTCCACCGACGCAGGACGCACATCGAAACCGTCCGACACGACCGCTGCACCTACAGCGCCCTAAGTGTAGCAGCGGGGTTTTCTGGTCTCAGAAGGCCTCTCCCTCCTGAAACACAGAACGACCATCGAAACCAGACAGGAAGGCCGCCGCGCATACATCGCTTCACGTGCAGCGGGCCTGGTGGGCCTCAAGAGGCCTGGGCCGCGTGCCTCCACCAACACAGGACGACCACTTGCGGCGCTTCGAGTGCAGCGGGCCTTGTGGGCAGGGCCGCACAGCTTACAGCGCTTGACGTGCAACGAGGCTTTTAGCCTCAGGAGGCCTCTTCCTCCAACAAGACAGGGCGACCCATCGATACGGGACGAACATATCCATGAACGTACAGCGATGTGGAAATACTGGCGGTCCTTTCTGGTCTCGCCAGGCCTATGCTTCCGATGACACAGGGCGACCCATCGAAACAGTGCGCCTCGGGGCATCAATAAGCCTTTCCCTCCAACAACGCAAGACGACCAGCAATACCAGACGAATAAAAGCACCGCTGTTACAGCGTTTTACATGCAACGAGGTTTTCGACTCTACATCGACCTCTTCCTCCAGCGACACAAGGCGACCATCGAAACCGTACGACAAGGCCGCTGCACTCACGACGCTGCAAGTATAGTGGGGTGCCCGGGGGTTCGGCGGGTCCATGGGGCCTCTTCCTCTTTCCCCTGACGCTGCGGGCCACTCGCGGTCTGTCGCCGCGTAGCCCCGCGCCGACCGCGCGGCCCCGCGCGGCCGCCGCGACGCGCGCACTCGAATGCGTGCAAGCGCGCACCGAGGAGCGAACGGGAGGTCGAACCCCAGGCGAACGCGCGCCCGAGAGCCGATCGACCAACACCGAAAGCCCAGGAAGACGAGGCCAGGACCGAGCGACGAGCGAGACGGCAGCACGCGTGCACGGACCCAGCCCCGCCAGGACGAGAGGGGAAGGACGCCTCCAGGGCTCTCTAGAGGGGGGGGGGGACGGCGGGGGGGCCCAAAGAAAAAAGGCGCGAAGCGCGACAAAGCTCCCGAGCCCCCGCCAGCGAGGGGGGGGGGGGGGACGCCGCCAGGGCTCTCAAAGGGGAGGGGGGCGGGATGCTCAGGAACCGCAAGAGGCAGAGCGCCCGAGACAGTCAGGAGGAGCAGAGGGAGGACGCCTCCAGGGCTCTCAAGATCCAGGGAAGGGGGGAGAAGTCTCTCGGCCTCAGCGTGGCAGGGCGCCGACATGCCCCCTGCGTCACAGGGGCGCGTTCCTCTCACCCCCCCTCGGCGGCCGCCATCCTCCCCCCCCAGCCCTTCTGCCGAGGGGTAGGCGCGCTCACCGCCGAGGGGGGCCGTCATGATGGCGAAGCCGTCGCCGAGGGTCTGGCCGAGGCCGACGTTGTCGGAGCCGCCCTTCGTCGAGTTCTTGGGCCTGCGTCAAGGCCAGCTCCGTCGGCATTGTTGTCAGGGCTCGTGCTGTCGTGGGCCCCCTGGCTCGCCACCCTCGGCGCCAGCGGCACTGTGGCGACCAGCCCGTCCAGGCTGGACGGGGCCTCTTCCTTTTGCTTCTCGTTCGGCCTTCTGGTGCTTGCTCTTGTGTCTTCGCCTGCATTAATGTGTTCCTCGTGGTGAACGTGTCGTGGTCGTGGTCGTGGTGCCTGTCGCAGTCGCGTCGGCCGTTGTCGCCGAAGTTGTGTCTTTCGCGGTCGTCGTCGGCTCCGCCTTCCCTCACACGTGGCGAACGAATGGCCGTGACCTGTCGTCTGCTGCTCGGTTGGGACAATGTGGGGTTGTTGTTGTCCGTGTCGCCCGTGACAAGATCGCCGCAACAGTTTATCGCCGCGTGTTCGTGGTAGTGCCAAGGCCTGGCGATGTCGAAGTTGTCGCCGTGTCGTCGTACTGCCTGCTGGATGCGTTGCTGCAGGTCGGCGTGATCACCGTGGTCGCTCCAGCCGTGGATGACAACCTCGTTGGCGTGCAGCTTGGCGAAGTCTCTGCTGGTGATGTAGCGGTACTCGGCAATGTCATGCATGCTGGCTGGGACGCGTGTGCATACGCAGGTGACGCTGGGTGTTGCACATTCGCATATCAAGAGGATGGTTGTCATGATGATATAGTTGTGGTCACGTGCTCGTTGGCATGCCGCAGGTCGCAGATGTCGGAATCCCCAAGGTTGGTTCTTGTCGCGGAGGCTGCGTTGGTCGTGGTCATTATGGTAGTCGATGATGCATGGGGCTGCTTCTCCACGTCTGATGTGCCGCCGCGCCAGCTCGACTTGTTCTTTAGGAGTGGTGCTATAGTTGACCTTGGGAACTTCCATACTTTTGCCGACCTCCTCTACCGCCTGCTGGATGCTGCTGGTGACCTCGTTGATGTTGTCGGTCGTGTTGGACACCGCGATGGTGATGCTTGGTCGGAGGTCCTGTGCTCTGGTGTCAAGCTGGTGGTTGGGCGTGTGCGTATCGTCTACCGCTGGGTGCTCGTTGCTCGTTTCCTCCGTGTCGGTGGGTATCGTAGCTGGTGCTATAGCGTTGACCCCAAGCTCGTCGTAGCTGATGGGTCCGATCCAAGATCCTTGTAGCTGCTGTACTGGTAGTTCGGCGTAGTCCTCGGGCAAGCCGGTGCGCTTGTTGAGCCTCCGAGTCCGCTTGATATCGTTCTTGTTGGCGTTGATCTCGCTGTCGGTGAGGCGCGTGCAGGCATTGGCCCCGGATGCTCCGCACCTTCGGGAGGCCTTCAGGTGCTTGATGAGTCTGTTGGCAATGTGGAGTTCTCGTAAGCATATCTGGCATACGCTGCCGATGGCCAGTTTGTTGATGTCAGCAGCCGGCTTGTGGCGGTGGTAGACGCGCCTGGTGTGTGCTGCTCGGCTGGCGAGGATCGCTCCACATGTGTAGCACATGAACTTGCTGTCCTTGTGGTTGTCTGGGTGTGGTCGCAGTGGAGCTGGTAGGATCGATCCGCCGCATGTCTCGGATATCTGTGCCTTCCACTTGGTCTTCTGGTGCTCGTCGGCGCGCCATGCTGAGTCCCGTTTGGATGCAAGCCTGGTCGTGCGCTGCATGCCGCGCGGGTCGCTGCGTGCTGCACTGATCCAACTTCGAACGTCCTGTATGTTCTTCGCTTTGCGGTCGTTCTCGAAGAATTGCGAGTTGTGTTGGATGTCCAAGGTAATCAGCTGGGCCCACTTGCCGTCGTTGTGGATGTCGACGTCGATAAGCGCATGCAGTTCTCGGGGGCATCCGTCAACGAGCCGTCCACATTGCCGTATCCGCTGTGTGCGTAGCCTCGTCCGGAGTGTCGGTATTCCCGCCTTGTCAATGATGTCGGCGTTCGTGATGGCTTCGGGGGGGAGGAGGAGGTGGAGGAAGAGACATCGATCCTCCGATCCTGGATCCTAGATCCTCGATGAGGGAGGAGAAGGGGATAAGGAGAGGAGGAGGAGGCGGTGGACGAGGAGGGAGGCAGGGAGGGAGGATGGGAGGAGGCAGGCAGGCAAGAGAAGGGGGGAGGGGGCGGAGGAGGGGGGGAAGGAGGTGGAGAGGAAGGGGAGGGGGGCAGGGGGGCAGGAAAACGACGGGGATAACGAAAAGGGGGGAGGAAGAAAAGGAAGCGATACGAAGAGGAGCCGAAGAGGGAGGGAGAACAGAGGCGCACCTGCAGCGACAGCATCATCCCCGCCGCGCCCCAAGCGACGCGCGGCGGCTACCGCGCGCGCTCGCATCCCTGAGCCAGGCGAACGAGGAGGACGAAGAGATGGAGGGAGGTGGAGGTGAAGGGGGAAAAGGAGCAGGAGGAGGCTGGGTGGGGGGGGGGGACGGGGGGGGAGGGCGGGTAACGGTGGAGGACGAGGAGGGGAACGACGAGGAGGGGCGGGGGGGGAGGGCCTGAAGAGGACGAGGAGGAAGAAGGTGGAGGAGGACGAGGATAAAGAAGGAGAAGGGAAAAGGGAGGGGGGGGACAAGGGATGAGGAGGGGGGGGGGGCGGAGGCGGTGGAGAGGATGAGGAGGTGGAACATCAAGAGAGGGAGTGAGGGGAGTGGGCATCCTCTCACTCCTCTCAAGATTGTAAATCGCCGAAAAGGTGACCCTCCATAGACCTTCGGCGGATGGTTCTGTTCAATCCGTGGGCCGCATCCCATTCCCAGGGTCAATTTTCCATCCCGCATCGTTTTCTGACAGGGGCCCGCACACGGCCCCAGAGATTGAAACAGAGGAGAAAACACCAATATCAACAAGACAGACGGCTAGACGTAAGAAGCCTCCTCAGCTCGGCCACAGGCCCCCCAAAGGGCGCACAGTGTGATTCCTTGCGGTTCCCTCGCTCCTAATCCCCGCTTCCGCCTCGTTTCCGCTCTGTCTCTCATGCCCGCTCTGCCGCAACCGTTTCTCTCAGAATAGGGTCCTTGGCTATTTGAGCTACGATCTCTGCCGCGCAAGGTGCGAAAACAAATATCAGCGATAATCTTCCATATCACACACAGAGGGCCCCGAGATGGCAATCTAAGCCCACAGCTGGTCCCAACGACGGCCTCCCAAGACCGCCATGGCGTTGTAGCCAGTTGCATCGTCACAAAACCGCCCCGCTGGGGTCGGCAGAACGGCGCGAGCGGACTTCTTGGATCGGCGTTGGACCCCCCATCCATGTCGCACGGAGCGGGCCAGGGAAGGCGCCTGAGGCGGAGCCAGGGGGTTCGAGCGCCGACACCGGAAACCCGTGCGAACCTCCGAAATATTATCGCGCAAACCTCCGAAAGTTTCTTCTTGTGCAGTTTATCAGGCGGCCCCAGCAGGTAATTGATAAGTCGAATCGGATCGACCCGAAAATTAAACCGGCAGAAATCAGCAGAAATCCGCCGACCCCTTGTGGGTCTCGAGGCGTGTGAGATAGTTCCCCCCCCCATAACCCCCCCCCCAGGGACCCTAAACCGGAGATTTGACCCCACCCCCCGGCCCCAGGGCACCCACCGCCGAACGCGCCATGGGGGAGCAAAAGGTCCCAAAACGAGCCGAAAGCGCACAAACGGGCCCACGCGACGGTCCAACAAGGCCCCAAGAGGCCTCCAAGACGGCCCACGAGGGCCCCGAAACGCCAAACGAGCGCTCCAAGACGCCCAAGATGGCCCAAAGACGGGCTAAGAGGCCTCCTAGACTCCTAGACGGCCCAAGAGGCCCCCACAAGGCCCAAAGAGGCCTCCAAGATGCGTCCCAAGAGGGTCCCTAGACGCAAAAATTGGCCCATTCCCTTCGTAAAACGTGCGAGTTCCGCAAATTCGCCTTCTGGGTGTTCCGATGCCCCCAGACGGCCCAAGAGGCCCCCAAGACCGCCCCAAGACGGCCCAAGAAGCCCCCAAGAGGGCCCCAAGATAGCCCAAGAGGGCCCCAAGACGGCCCAACAAGCGTCCAAGACGGCCCAAGAGGGCCCCGAAGACGGCCCCAACAGCGCTCCAGGAGCGCTACAAGTGGCCTCCAAGAGAGCTCAATATGGTCCCAGACGGTCCAAGAGCGATCAGAAACACCGAAAATGGCCTCCAGACGGCCCAAGATGCCCCCAAAAGGCCCCAAGAGGCCTCCAAGATGCGTCCCAAGAGGGCCTCTAGACGCCAAAAATTGACCCGTTCCCTTTGTAAAACGTACATGCTTCACAAGTTCGCCTTTTGGGCTTTCCGATGCTCCCAGACGGCCCAAGAGGCCCCCAAGACCGCCCCAAGACGGCCCAAGAAGCCTCCAAGAGGACCCCAGGACAGCCCAAGAGGGCGGCAAGACGGCTCCAGAGGCGCCGAAGACGACCCAAGCGAGCCCCGAAGACGGCCCAAGACGCCCCGAAGACCGCCCCAAGACGGCCCAAGAAGCCTCCAAGAGGGCCCCAAGATAGCCCAAGAGGGCCCCAAGACGGCCCAACAAGCGTCCAAGACGGCCCAAGAGGGCCCCGAAGACGGCCCCAACAGCGCTCCAGGAGCGCTACAAGTGGCCTCCAAGAGAGCTCAATATGGCCCCAGACGGCCCATGGCTTCCAGACGGCCCAAGATGCCCCCAAGAGGCCCCAAGAGGCCTCCAAGATGCGTCCCAAGAGGGCCTCTAGACGCAAAAATTGACCCGTTCCCTTTGTAAAACGCACATGCTTCACAAGTTCGCCGTTCGGGCTCTCCGATGTTCCCAGACGGCCCAAGAGGCCCCCAAGACCGCCCCAAGACGGCCCAAAAAGCTTCCAAGAGGGCCCCAGGGCAGCCCATGAGGGCGCCAAGACGGCTCCAGGGGCGCCGAAGACGGCCCAAGAGAGCCCCGAAGACGGCCCCAAGAGCGCCCCAGGAGCGCTCCAACTGGCTTCCAAGAGAGCTAGCTCAACATGGTCCCGCGCGGTCCAAGGGCGATCGAAGACACTCGAGATGGCCTCCAGATGGCCCAAGACGCCTCCAAGAAGCCTCCAAGATGCGCCCCAAGAGGGTCCCTAGACGCGAAATGTTGCTCATTTCCTTGACAAAACGTCGTATATGTTTCACAAATTCGCCCCGTGGGCTTTCCGATGCTCTAAGACGGCCCAAGAGGCCCCGAAGGCCGCCCCAAGACGGCCCAATAAGCACCCAAGACGGCCCCACGACGGCCCAAGATGGCCCCAAGACGGCCCAAGAGGTCCCCAAAACGGCCCAAGAAGGCTCCAAGACGGCACCAAGAGGGGCCCAAGAGGGCAACCAAAAATTCAAAATCTAGCTTTCCGCCCCCACGAACCACAGGGGGGCCCAAGAGTGCCCCAAGAGGCCGCCAGAGGCCCCCAAGAGGCCGCCAAGACGCCCCAAGGAGCCCCCAAGAGCCCCCAGGAAGTCCCCAAAAGACCCCCAGACGCTTCCATCTTGCGAGCCGTCAAGCCAACTGCAATGCACTCCGCGCATACAGCCTTGCTCTTCCTCGCGACGTGCTCACTATCTTGCTCGGCGCTAATGTGCTGCTGCCGCGCGAACTGTTTCGTGCGCGCTGCGAACGTCAACAGCCTCTTCACCCGTTTCGACTCATCTGCCACATCTTTCGCGGTGGTGCCTCGCTGATCGCAACTTCCGCACACTACTCTTGCTCCTTTCGTCTTCCGGTGGTCCTCCACTTGGTTGCGGGTCGTAAGGCCGACCTCCCAGAAGGACACCCCGCACCCGGGCGCACAGCACGCAAGGCGCTCGCAAAACACGCACCAGACCACCGGCATCACGCAAACATTTGGACCCCCTACGTATCTGCCACCACCCGCGCGCGACACCGCACCCTCACACAAGACGCCGCTGGCCAGAAACTCCTGGCCTCGCAACACTCACAGAAGGGGTCGGCGGATGTGGCGTAAGCCTGTAGAATCGGTTGACTAATCTAATCGGCAGAATTGGGCAAAATCGAATCGGATCGAGTCGGAAACCAGATCGCGTTAAGCCGGATCGGAAACGAAATCGGTAGGGCAAACTAGAACGTGGAGGAGGCGATAGGCCCTCCCTCCTGATCTCCTCATCCCGAGTTTCGTCGTCGCACGTCGTCGTTGACGTCGTCGTGCGCACGTTGTCGCATGCGTCACCGCAAGTCGTCGCATACGTGTTCGTCGCATGTCGTCGCGAACGTTCGCACGCGTCAATCGTCTCAACTCTCGGTGTGGCTCGTCCCACAATCCGATGGGGCCGACCCCTCCCGTCTGCGACTGACCCAACCGTCACTGGCCCTCTCGAAACCGTCGAACTGGACCAGCCCGACGATCCGAGCCGAACAAACCGAATCGCTGCGCCGCGGGGTCGAGGAGCATGAATGGCCCCGTCGAGGTCCCTTCGGAGCCCCGTCGGGCGCCCTTGGGGGCCCCTTAGGGGGTGCCCTTGGGGGGCCCTTGGGGGCTCCTTGGGAGCCCCCGTCGTCGTCGCCGCCGTCGTCGTCGTCGTCGTCGTCATCGTCAATGAAGACACCTCCACCACCATCACCCGTCATCATCATCATCATCATCATCATCATCATCAGCAGCATCATCATCATCATCATCATCATCATCATCATCATCATCATCATCATCATCATCTGCATCACCACAAACATCACCATCAGCATCACCATGATCATCATGATCACCATGATCATCGCGGCCATCATGATGATGATGATGATCATGATCATGATGATCATCATCATCATCCTCCTCCTCATCATCATCATCATCAGCATCGTCAACATCATCATCAGCACCATCAGCATCATCACTACCATCATCGTCATCGTCATCATCAGCATGAACAGTATCATCGTCATCATCGGCATCATCATGTTCCTCATTAGATTCCTCATCCTCATCCTCAGCCTCGTCCTCATTGTAAGAATCATCATCAACACCACCCACACTCATCATCATCACCACCACCGTCAGCATAATCATCATCACCATCAGCATCACAACAACGATCAGCATCATCATCAGCAGCGGCATCGTTATCAGCATCATCCCTGTCGTCGCCAAAATCATAATCATCAGCAGCAGCCGCAGCCCCGCAACAACCACCACCATCGTCATCCTCATCATAATCATCGTCATCATCACAATACACAGCACTGCTGATCAACAATCTCCATCAGATCTCAATCATCATCGTCCTCCTCTCTCCCATCATCACCAGGTCAAACATCATCATTCGCATCAGCATCACAACCACCACCAGCATGAGTATCAT